CCTCCCCCCGAAAAACAAAAACAAAACAAGCACGAAACACCCCCACTTCTTTATTTTGTACAGCACAGAAAAGAACTAGATATCCCATTCATGGGCCTGGACTCCAGTTACAGAATAATGTGCTATTCCTTCCTCTTAGACATTTATTTACTACCTAGATGTATTCATGGCTTCCTGCACAACCTGCACAAAGGAACAGATCTGATGCCAAAGGTTCTGCATTCCCATCTTACCTTCTCATCCACGAGTTATCTGCCAACTAAATAAGCTGGTTATCTGCAGTACCCACTAGGTCAGTTGACAGGCCTTTAGCCTTCTCCTGAATGAATTGCTACCCGGAGCTGTACAGCCCCAACCCGTCACGGTTGACACCATGGCTGTCCAACTGGCAGCTCGTGGGCCACACGTGACACAGAAGGAGTTTAAGTTGGGGCCCCCAGGCTCCCACCCAGGCACTCATTCTGCTATAAAAATTAAGACCCATGGTTTTAGCTATGGTCTCTAATTTGGAGTACTCCATTTTTGAGACACTTGGGGCCCAACTTCCAGAGCCCACTTTCCCCATAGGTTTCACCTCGATTCCCTGGCGATCAGATCTAAAAATCAGACCTTGTTATGAAGAACTGCACTGCCTAATAATTGAGGCAGCCAAAGCAAAAGGCTTAGGTCAGCTGTACATGTTCATTGACACTGCAACAAGGAGCTCAGAAGTAACTGGTAGCAAGCCACCCTCCCCTTCCCTGCCCCAAAGGCTCTCTCCTGCCAGGCATCACAGTCCCTTAAGCGGCACGTTTCTGCTCCCAGCCCCGATCTGCTCCTACCCCATGGCTGCTGCAGGCTGCTGCTGCACTGCCCAGAGAGGATCACCCACAGATTCCTGCATTCAGCCCCATGACTACTGTTTGAGTTACAGCAGATCAGAGAGCCCCACACCTTGGTTTACTCTCTTTCAGTGCTGGAGAGCCCACGGCAGGCCTTGGCAATCTGTTCCAATGGTTAATCAGGCCATTATCACTATAAAAGCTAGATCACCACTGCACATTTACGTTTTGCACTAGTAAAAGCTGTTTCTCATGCAAATTTAAGGCTCAAACAATGCTACTAAAAACAGTAATTAAAAATCAACTAGAGATACCAATTCTAGCACTTAAAACACATCAGGGAAAGACACAGGCCCAAACCAAGAAAGACTGATGAAGCCAACCTCTCCCAGGCCAGGCCATCTCAAACAGGAGGGTAAAAATTTACATAGAAGCAGAAGTGTACACGCTCTCAAGTTGCAAATTCGCATACAATCCCCATTGAAAAATACAACAAGAATGCCCAGATAGAAAGCACTCAGGGAATTAATGGCAAAAAAGTTTCCTTTCCCAAATACTTTTATTAATTCCTGGTAAACCACGTTGGCAGAAAGGGACTCATGCCTCCAAACCATCACAGCAGAAATCTCATGGAGAGGAGCTTTTCAGTCTCTCATTTCACATCTTAAATTGTTAATAGCTCACAGTACACAAAACGGCTGCCACATCCAAACCCACGGAGCCAGGAGTGGCAATTAGCACCCATGATACCATCTGCACCATGCATAGTTTGTGCATCAATTCACAGAAGTTCAGGGCTGGAAGGGACCTCGTGAGATCATCAGGTCCAGCCCCTTTGCTTGGGGAAGGAAAGTTTGAGGGATGGAAGGTGATGCAGAAATGTCAAATTATCACAAAACTCTCCCTGCATTTGGAGTCTCCCCCCACGTCAAGGATGACAGATTTGAAATCTAGGCCCAATTCAGCTTACTGCCCATAACAAAAGGTCACATTTTCAGAAGAGTTCAACAATTGGAGCTTTTGTCCTGAATTATTATTTATTTTTAGAAAAATTCTTTTTAACCAACATGTCCCCCGTCCCTTAAAAATGTGACGGTTTCCAAGAGATTTGTTTTTTTGTTTTCAGAGGGAGAGGTGAGGAAGATCTCAAATTAAAATGTTTTTGATAAAAAAGTAAGTTTTACAGGGATTTTCCCCCCCTCTAATTAAAGTGATATTTTTTCACTGTTGCTTAGAAAAACAAAAAGGTATTTATGGCCTCCTGTACTTATCATCCGACATGCACAAATCTTGCAAAGACTTGGTTGAAAGAGGGCTTCAGGGAACACAGCACTTCTAAGTACCTGTCCCACCTGTGACCCCAGAGATCTTACAGTCCAAGCTGAACTGAGGAGAACAGGGAAGAAACACAGAGGAGGCAGGGACTGAGTTCAGGGGGATGGGGGACAGGACGGACTACTGGAATAAAACTAAGTAAAGAAAACTGAGGCCAAATATCAAGACAGGCTGGTAGAAATCCTGGGCAGTACAATGAAGAGAACTGCCCCCATTATGCAGTGTGACGAGGTGCACTGGCAATCTAGGTTACTGCATAGCCCTAATACAGAGACTTTAGCAGAAAACAGCAGACCTGGACTGACACGGATTATGACAACACACACACCTAAAGGCCCCTTCCTCCCCATGGTTATAAATCTTCATGCTTAGGTGCATGAGCCAACCTCTGATGGTGGTCAGGAAGAAACTATACAGGTTATGGCTTAATGGGGCTTTTTCTACCTTCCTCTGAAGCTGTTATTCCCACTGGCCATATTTACACAATAAACCACAATAAAGCCAGGAGCAGTTCGAGACCCTGAGACTCGAAGCTGAGCGCCAGGTGACCCACTGAGAGGTTCATCTCTGGCTCCATTCCTGACCCTTTGTAACATCTTGGGTGAATCAATGGGTTTCCCTCTCCATGCCTCAGTTTCTCCATTTATACTATAGGGACAATGCTGGTGACCAGCCTCACAGTGCAAGGATACATGGTGTCCAGCAGTGCTCACAAAGCACCTTTTGTTTCCTGGGGTGGGAAAATGCTAGTACAGATGATAACATATTTCCACCAGGAAAGAATTTGGCCAGTGAAGTCCAGGCACTGCACTGAGACCTCCAATACTATGTCATTTAGCCTTCGCCAAGAAGCAAGGAGACCTCATGGAAGCTGGAGAAGGCCCAAAAAATAATGGGAGGACACTGACTTCACCAAGAGCGTGGTACGAAGGGCACTGCAGTTAGTGGACATCCTCCCCTTACTCCAGAGACGGACTCCAAGCACCTTAGTAGCAGCAAGCATAACTTCAGCAACCTAAACCTATTTGGCGATTAAGGACTTATCCATTGGTCCCTGGGCAACCCCATAAATACCCAGGGCTGGCAGGAAGCTCACTCTTCTTAACAGATAAGAGGCAGCTTCCCCCAGGCTGTGCCTGAGAAAGATTAAACCAAAGCCCTGTCTGTCCACATTAGGAATTTGCTCTGGTGTGTCAGCAGCCATTGCCTGACCAGCCCATTGAACTGGCATTGGCAGCAGTCTCAGTGCCTCTTGCTTTGTCACGCTTGCTCGGCAGGGACTGCAGGAGCAGTCTGTCCCACCTACACTAACAGATGGCAGGGTAGAGATGCACCTTAGGGATTAACTAAATCAGGGATGCATAAGCTTTCGTGAGTCAGAGCTCATTTCATCAGATACTACCAGCTGAGGCTACAGGTAGCAACTGACGAAGCGATCTCTGGCTCGCCTATGCATCTCCGATTTAGTTAGTCTATAAGGTGCATCTCTACCCTGCTTACTGCTTATTTTTACACTAACAGTGACAGTCAGTCCCTCCATTTCAGAGGTGCCACTGTAGAGACAACTGCTACACCAGCAGCCAGTGTCCTCATATAAATGGGTCCTGACCATGCCCAGGTCCAGCTGGAACAGGCACATTCAAGCACCTTGGGCCAGCACCAGCTCCCTCTCCCTGACAGCCTGCAGGAGAAGTTGTATACACGTGGTAATGCCCCAACAGCAACCATGCTGGTCCTGGCTTCCTGCAATGCCGTCTGGGAACACAGCCATCCTAAGGAGTTTGCTACAGTTCAGGCTCACCAACACCAGACCTACTCATGAGAGGATAATTAGTGCCAGAGGGTCAATGGAGAGGGGTGATGGGTGAAGGAGAGAGAACAGAGGAAGTGGGCGAACACAAAGGACTTCACAGTGCTCACGGTCAGCGCACAGCAGCCCTGAAAGACTGGAACCTCCCTGACCCATCCAGCGGAGGTGGTGGGAGTGAGACAGATGCACCTAGCTGGAAGGAAATGAGGGAGGACATTAGAAAGCACACAAGCCCCCTCTCCCATTAAGACACATCAAGGCAGTGAGCTTCTTGGAGCCAGGGGGTAGAAAGGAGCAAAAAGACCTGCTCTGGGCAAAGACCACTGGAGCACAAGGCTGCTCGGATGGAGCTGCAGGTCATCCCTGCCAAGGGAGTCTGTTTGCACATGTAGGGCTGACAAACTCTGAGAGTCAGCAGCATGCCAGTGGCAAGCGTGCAGAACGGGAGGCGGATGGACCCACTGGCAGAGACAAAGACATGGGTAGGGGGAGGGACCGAGCCCTTCCAGACTGGGAGCTCCAGCTAGGACAGGGACTGGTGGCACTGGATGAGCCTGGCCATTCCAGTTTCAGAGTCTGGAGCCTGCTGCTGCCGAAAGAGGCACATGGTGCCAGGGAGACCCCCTCTCCTGCATCCGGTCTGTGATGGAGCCAGATCAGAACAGAAAAGACAAACAGGGAGCAGTATATAAAGCAAGAGAACAGACACAGAGGGCTCCCCAGCTGGGAGCCTCTCTGTCTTTTCTTTCTTTCTTTGCTGGCAGGATGTGAAAGCAGCCATCACCATGAGAAGATTGTCATGGCAACCAAGCATCCATGAAGGGGAGGAGGGAAGAAAAGGGAGCAGGAGATACATCCCAAAGGGTGAGATGCTTACACACCCTCTCTCTCTCTCTCTCTCATGAAAATACTCTCAATTTCTCCAGCAGCCCTGAGACGTACAATGGCTGGGTTGTTCGGCTTCATAGCTGTAAGCCAACATTTACAGAGAGGGGAACCAATTGGGCTGGCTTCCAAAGCAATGAATGGGTACTGGTCTAATAGCCAGGCTCTGTAAGACTCCACCAGGGAACCATTCAAAAAGCTACCGCCCCTGCCTCCTAATAAGGCATGTCAGCAACTCACTGCCCAGAAACAGGCAATCCAGGAAGATGCCTTTACTACACAGGGCCTTTCTACCTGGGCCCTGGACACCTTCTCTGTGTACAGAAGATCTGGATTTTGCTCCTCAGAGTGGACAGCCCAGTACTAAAAATGATATAGCACTCCAGGGTC